GTTTGTGTGGAGGGTGCCCCTGCCTAGGGCAGGGGTTGGAACTGGATGAGCTTTAAGGTCCCTTCAACCCAAACCAGTCTGTGAGTCTATGACAAGAGCTGTGCAGGAACACAGACATCTCTCAGCAGATGCACCCTCTCCCAAGAGCTAGTTCTACTCACTCCCACTGGAGCTGCACAAGGACTCCCCACATCTAAATTCCAGGAGCTGCAGGCCCCTTACCTTCAGCACCCACTGAGGATGTGTCTGCCTGAGGCAGCTTGGATCAGACATACAGTTTTCTCCATTAACACAGTACCTTCAGTTTAAAACACCCCCCAATTCCTTGGTTTAAAGGAGGCAGAAACTGTTATCTCAAAGCTCCCAGGCCAGACTGTTACTGTCCTACATGTCACCTCTCATTTCTCTTTTCAAACTGCCCTGTCTGTCTCATGTCAACCATTCCTCATGTCCCATTAGTCCCTCAAGACCCACCCGTTGTCACTGGACCCCTCAGAGCGCAAGACCAGAGTGAACATTGCCCAAGAGCCATGTCTATCACTGGTGGTGTAGCCGAGGGCCACAATGTACATCTCATTCCTGTTTTAACTGATGCAATGGCACCAGGCTTAGCCTGTAATTAACATTCCAGTGCTAAACTCAAAGATAGTCTATAGGAAAAGTTGATGGAAAGCAATAATCCCAACAGGAAGCTCCAGCATGATGGTCTGAGGGCAGTCATCAGGCCTACTTGCCGATTCATTCATGGCAAGAGAGCAAACACTTTACAGCAAACTGCAGCCTGATGAAATACCAGAGCAATAAGGAAGCAGGTTTCCACCACCATAACCCAGTGCTCTGCGTCCTGCTCCAGGTGTTCCAGGCACACCAACAACCGGCACTCCAGGGAATCAGTCTGGATATACCATGACGCTCCACTTCCCTGCACTGTTCCCTTCCAACTGCTGTTGTCCAAGCCTCACCTTTGCCATTCCCTGCTCCACTGCAGGGCTAAACGCTGCAGAGAGCTTTGGGAGTCTCGTCTTCCCCAGATGACCTCAGTAACATCATTTTTCCACTTTTTTACATTTTAAGACATTTTCTGATGCCTCACCAGTGTCTTCCCCATTATTTAAGGCACACAAGTGCTCACTAAACCCCACTCTACTCAATTGCCACTAACATCACATCAAACCAAAGAAGCCAAGTTACCTCAGAGTGGTGGATGTCCTTACCTGAGCCCTCAGGCACAGGATCCTCCTCCAGAACTAAGTGGCCATTCTCCAGGGGTTATGTAGCCTCAGGTGATGGTTTGACCTTGACCTTCTGAATGCTTCAGAGGCAAAGGGTGCTTGGTGTTCCCAGTGCTCCATACCAACTACACGCCCCAGAGCTCAGAAATAAAACTTGTTTCCAGGTCTCTTATCTGTGCCCAGATAACCCACTGACCTGTCAAGATGTTGGACACAGAGGTCAGCTGCTCTCAGCTTTCTGTAAGTCACCCATTAGAAAGTGGCTACAGAACAAGTTTCGCTGGAATCAATCTAGGCACCACATAGATTTGTGGTACAAAAGCAGAAAGGAGTTTGGTTTGCAAACCAAACAGGGGAACAGCTCTCAAAGTGATTCTGTAATGGAAAAGCTGAAAAGGAGAGAGCAGCTCAGATTCAGCCTCTGCTGGTTACTCCATGACCTCTCCTTGCCTAGAAGGAACCAGGCTTTATGGGGAAGAGAGATCTGCCACTCAAAACCAGGCTTTCTAGACACTGGCATCTGATGAATACACAGACTTCTAAGTTTCTTTCAGCTCTCTGCTCTCTCTTTCCATTGTAACCCCACCCCAGCATCCAGAGGAAAATGGAATTGGCTACAATACCAGATATTTCCATTTTGCTTCCAAATTAACACAAACAAGAAGTTCTTCCTCCTCCCCTCACCTCTGAGCACAGAGTCCTTTTGAAAGCTGCTCACAAATCACTTCAGCTTGGAACAAAGAAGCAAACATTCAGACTAAAATAATAGGAATTGTTCACTCCCCCATTCATCTAACATGCACCTTGCATGGAAAATTCCCATGACAACAACAACCCCATCATTTAGAACAGTTCTGGTTTCCTCCCCTATGAACTCCGGTGCCTAAAATGGAGAAACAACACAAAGACAACTGGTGCAGAGGAGTTGAGGCAGCTACAACAAACTGCTCTTTCCCCTTCCAGCTACAAAGCAAGTGAAAACCCAACCACTGCTAATGGAAACTTCCAGATTCTTTATTCAGGAACAGGTATGCCCATGTGCTGTGGGTTCTTTTCCTGTTTAAATGATCACAATTATGAAATTACCCATTTTGAAAGTGCCTTTCACCAGAGCACCCAGGTGCTTTATAAAAAAAGCTGTGTGGCACGACAGAGAAGATCCATCACTCAAGAACCTTCTGGTCTCTTGTTTCTAATTCCTCATTTCAGGCATTTTTACTGCCTGAGGATGAGGGGAAAAAAGCAACAAACGGACTCCAGAAAAAGACCTTCTTGTTTTCAGGCAAGGTTTAGATCAGAGACGAAACGAACATTGAGAGACCCAAATTCCCATGAAGAGCAAGTAGCTACTTCTAAAACCACCCATCAGCTGGTTTCCCAGGAAAAGCCTTGTAGGAGTAGGTTCTATGCTGTATTTGGGGGATTAACAAAATGTGTATCAATAAAGGAGGATTCTTTTGGCCCAGACTACAAATTTTGGTTGTAGTCCACCAAAACTGGGGTAACCATTAACATCTGGGAAGGTATTTACCATCCTTACCCATAAGGAAGCTCTATTTTGTCATTTCTGTTTGATTTTTTTTTTAACAATACAGAGACTTCTGGGAGCCAAAAATAAGTTCACCCCCTTGTCTACTGTTTCACAGTCCTCCTGTCAGCAGCTTTACCTTGCCGGTTTAGTTCTGCCCCTACTTTTGCCTTTGGTTCCCATCACACCCAGATTTCTAGACCAAAATACCAATTTATAGTGTCAAATAATGGGGCAGAGGGAGGAATCAATTGTACCTATGCCCTGGTCCATGGTAAGTAGATGTGTACTGGCCCTGACCAGACACAAAGCAAGCTCCAGCTTCTCCAAGCAGGATGGAATTTCTCTGTGCTTCAGATTATTTTCAGCTATTGATAGTGTTCATGTAAGAGATTGTTTTGCCTTTAACACACTGGGAGAGAATGTAAGTGCACAGACATAGACACAGAACACAGGGAAGAAGATGGTAAAACTTCCCTTTGTTGGTTTCAGATGCAGACAGTTGTATCCTTAGAACCTCTTGGAGCTTTTCCTTCAATACAGGATAAAACCTCTGATCCTCAGGGGGTCCTGGTTAACTTTTGAATCCAAAGATGCCCTTTATATATCCAGTAAGGCCACTCTTGGCCTTCTGCTCCACCTTGTCCTCCAGAGGTGGGAAAGCAACGTGATTAAGGGCCAGGTCAAAGAACAAGGGTTTGCATGGAATGGGCTGGAAGCCTGGAGGGAAGTGCACGAGGCTGACTTGCTTGCTGACAAGAGAAGGATCCAGACAGAAAGTCTCAAACCGTTCTGAGAGAGGCTGAAAGAGACCAGTACAGAAACACAAATCAAACATGTCAAATCAAAGATGACACGGGTCAAACAAGCAAAAGGGGTTAAGAAGGGACTGAGACAACAGAAGCTGAAGTTACTTTAGGCCCTTGAAAATTATTCAAACCGCTGTCAAAGCATCACTGCAGGATCTGTGGAAAACCTTCCCATGCGCAGGTTAAAGCTAAATAAAACCAAAAGATGCCACACTAGAAGCTGCAAGCAGCTGCCTAGCTCCTACCCAAGGAACCCACTGTGTCACCCACCTTCAGGACTTGCAGAAGGAAAACAAGCCTAATAAAGTCCTTTAAATACACCGGTCATGACCAAACTCCT